AGGAATTCCTAAATTGTAAGTGAGAGAAAAAAACTGGCAGAAATCCTATTACATGTTAAATAATTAACTGAAGTTCTGAACAGAGATGGGAAAATGAGAATTACAGCTAATTGCTTTCACTAGTTCATTTAGATAACCAACTTAATTTTAATTATGTTATTAAATGATACTATCTTTACATAGTTTGCCTAATCTCTTCAAATAAGCCAATATGCTTACAGACTTTTAAGAAAAATACCATCAAATCTCATTTTCTCTTGCATTTTCAGTAAATATAAAAGTAACTGAATATCATGTAATAACAGGAAAATTATTTCTAATCATGTTATTTCAACAATAAGCTATTGGACATATACCATACTGATATTACACTATATATCATATAGGGATATTACATGAAGATGCTTTACTTGTATTATCTTAATCACCCTAACTAGAAGACATACAATTTTTACCCCTATTTTAATAACAAAAGATGTTAACTCACTCAAAGACCCTGATCTCTGACTTTAACCACTAAGATATAATCCCACTGATCCTAGAAAACATATCTATTTTTTTAAGTCCTATTAGATTTTACAAAGCAGTATGAATTTTGGACTTTCACGTAAGATAAAGAGTTAAGATCCCACAAGTCCATATACAAGATAAAGGAAAACAAAAAGTGTTTAAAAGTGTACAGAAAGAAAGCAAACAGCAGCTTTGTTTCACTTACTACATTCAGCCTTTCTTACTCTCAAAAAGGTGAAGAACTGCTCTCTATTAAGGGAGCTGCAGTTCAATCCTTTTCTTCTAACAGTCTTTGGAAGGTATTCCATTGTGTTCAAGCCTTCAATGTTGTAAATGATTTTCTTTCCCCAAACAACTTCAGTATGGCCCCTCTTCAATGTAGCCTATCAATGCAGTATGAAACTCCTTAAGCCTTTTCAACATCTAAATGGGGTTTTCTTCCTTATCATTTAATTATTATTGAGCTCTTCCATTAGTTCTTTTTTCTTTTCCTTCTGGAACTCCTATAACATGTAGAGTTTTAAAACAGTGTTACCTTTTCCGGATTTATCGTTTTCCTCATGATTTTCATGTGTTAACATTTTTGCCGATATTGGGGGATATTTCCCAAATCTGATCTTTAAGGCTACTAATATTATCTTTATTCATCTATTGAACTTTTGCTTTCAAAAAAATTATTTTGGGGGGACTCCAGAAAGTCTCTTCCATATTAATTTTTAATTAATTTTCCTGAGGGATATTTTTAAGTTAAGTACTCATCTGATCACTTCAATCGTCCTAGATATATATGCTAACTATTCTCTCAATCTTTCTCTCCATTTGACATGAGTGGTTATTTTTCATTTAGCTTACCAGGTTTCGGGTCCAGATGTTGGAGTATTCCAAAGTGAGAATCCCAGATGTGTTAGAAAACCATGCCCCATATTATCTTTAGAATTACTTTCCATGGTAGCCAGCAAGCTGTCCTTCCTGGAGGCACAAGAGGAGGCCTCCAAAGGCAATATATTCTGTTCCCTTCACCCTTGAAAATTCCAGAGAATAAGAAGTGGGCAGGTGATATACATGGGAATAGCAGGAAGGCAATGGAAATAGGCAAAAATGTTAACACATGGAAATTGTACAGACAGGAAGGTATAAAACCAACCTTAGAAAACAAGTCTATACGGTAAGTAGAAGAAAGCATAACTGTCTTTTAGTAAGAACTTTATAGCCTGACCACTGCCAATTCTGCAACAAAAAAATCTGATGCTTAGAATGATTCTTTAATATCTTTATAACTTTGTACTTAAAATTCTACATTATAGAATGGAGTGCTGATTGACCAGAGGTCATTACTGACTGCCCAAAGGTAGAAAGAAGGAATATCTGACTCCACCAGTTTCTGTATTTCTCCCTATTATGAACATCCATAGTTTCAAATCTCCAAAACTAGGAAAGAAATTGGATACTAGTCAGTGAAAAAGGAAAAAAAAAAAAAAAAAGAAAGAAACAAATGGCAGATATCCATCATTATTACTTCCAGAATTTATATCAACTGACTGCATGAAAAGTTTATACCTACAATTTGCTTTTAAAACAGTTTCCAAGCATCAGCATTTAGAAAGTCTCAAAAAAAAAAATCATGTTATATATGCAGAAAAGAAAACAGCATTTATTTTAATTTTCTTGAGACTATATTATGAACATAGGGAGAAATTATTAAGTTTTAAAGGCAGAAAGTGTGATTTCTGACATAAATTGGGTTTGTCATAAACAATACAAAAGTATCATAAACATCACTTTAATCAATTTCATGACCTCAGCCTTAAGTAGCTGCTTTAATTATACAAGCACTTAAGTTGGTTTTTAAATAACCTCAGTCTATACTTTCTTATTTTTCATGGTAGCTAAATAGTAGCTTTAAAGGGTTAAAGACTTCTAAATTGGTATTTTTAAGTGTCAATAAAGGATGAACAGAGAGAACCAGGAAATCTATAAAACAGAGTAGTTAAAATTCAAGTTGAGATCTTAGCAATAATGATAACAGCAGCAATTAATACCACTTAATATTTTCTGAGTATGTACAAGATATTCTTCTAAGTACATGTATTTGCTAATCCTCTCAAGAATCCCAGAGAAAGATGTATATATAGTACTCCTATTTTACATATAATAAAACGTGAGAGGTTAAGTAAGTAGCCCCTTATCTCACCCACAGCAGAAAACTGATGAGGTGAGGATATAAGACCAAGCATGTCTTTATGGCAATCTGCCTTAAAGCTCCCCTTAAGCCAATAATAATATTTGCTATTATATTTCACATACAGAGGTGTGACTAATCTTAAGATAATAAGGTATTTCATCATCTAGGCAAAAACCTTTAAAAATCAATTTTGTAGACCAGTCTTTGAAAATTATCAGACTCAAACAAAAAGGAAAACAGGCTTTCAATACTTTTGTTCAGTAGCTAAAAACAGAAATTTTCTTCATGGAAACACTTAAGATTTCTTTTACTATGCTCAAATTCAGTAAGTATTACAGAGATGCTATCAGAGATTACAAAGGATTGAGAAAGTTCCTGAAAGGTAAGTATCAGAAAGGTGTACAACCAATCTTGAGTTCCCTATTACACACTTCAATAGCAAGTGTATCTCAAATATATTTTGATCACAGTTTCACAGGTACTCTTCCCTTTCCCTCAATTCTTATAAGGCCACAAAACTTATAACAAAAGAAGGGCAATATGTGCCACTGCCTACTGAGGACTGTGGGAATTGGGGGCTGCAGGGATCCATTCTTTAAATATTCAAGCACTATACTTAGTCCTATCAACAGAACCTAGATAAAAAATGGTATTTTCATTGTGTACTTTGGGAGGAGGATGAAGAGGAGAAGAATATTAGTTTCAATAATAAATTCAAAGCACTGGTAAAAAAAATTCATAAATATAGGTATAAAAACTTAATTCTGAAGTTTAAAAAGGTGAAAATAGTGTAAAATTATGACTAATGACAGATAAAAATCCAATGGATATGACAATAAGATGACACAGAAATAGTGATGACAGGGATGCTAAAAATCTAGCTTAAGTAAGAATAACTATCAAGTTCAACAATAGTGATTACACACAAAAGCAAGTAATTTAAGAAGTTTTATGGTCAGAAAAAGGATAAGTTCAAGCTTTTCAAGGTAGTCTTATGTAATAACTTGGCACAGGATATGGCAGAGTTAGTGAGAAGCTCGGGAGGAAATGAGAGGATCAACCCAAAGTAAAAGATGCCAGAGAGCTAGATGGACAGGATGTCCAAAGGTTTATGTCAACAGATGCTGAAGTAACCAAGGATAATGACAGGGAATGTGATAAAGAAGTTGCGCCAGATAAAGCAATAATTTGAGGAAAACTGAAAAATATATGGAGGCTGGAATAGATGTCTATAAGGGGGAAACCACCATTAAGAGGAAGTCTTAATAGTGGTACCACCAGTACATTTTTAAAAATGTTAACATAAAGACAATAATGAGGACTAGGGTTGTGGCTCAGAGGTAGAGCACTCACCTAGCATGTGTGAGGCACTGGGTTTGATCCTCAGCACCACATAAAAATAAAATGAAGGTATTGTGTCCATCTACAACTAAAAAATAAACATTTCTTTTAAGAAATAATAATGAATTTCTCATGTGTGAAAAAGAAATACTGAATGACTATAAATTAAGATAATTTAGATATTTAAAATGGTTGAAAAATTCAGTAAGGTTTGAAATCACTTTTTGTAGCTTAAAAATTCTAAGCTTTTAACTACTAGATATAAAACACATAATCAGAAATGGGAAGACTCTGCAGCCAGGTAAGTAATTTGCAAAAAAAAAAAAAAAAAGGGAGGGGGGCTGGGGGCTGGGGCTGTGTCTCAGTGGTAACGTGCTCTCCTAGCATGCATGAGGCACTGGGCTCGATCCTCAGCACCACATAAAAATAAATAAAGACCATCAACAACTAAAACACATAATCAGAGATTTCCAGTTCTAGTGAAACTCGTTGGTGTTCAATTTTAGTAACTTACAGAAGTTCTTTACTAGATGACTTTCTCTGAACCAAGCTATCATATCCAAATATGCCATCTAATTTAGTAAGAATTTATACTTTATAACAGCTCTCAATGATGTAAGGATGGGAAATTTGCAGTCTTTTAATAGCCTATAAATTAATTAAACTTGACAATGGTAATCCATCAAAATTAAGTTCTACACCAGTTGATGTTTGATTTGCATTCGGAGAGCTAATGTTGTGAATTTTGTTCCTAACCAACAACTTTAGATTCCCATCTACTTCCCTTTTGATGGAAAGGAATTCCTTTCAAAGAAGCAATAAATCTTCACCTTTTCTGGGGGAACATTATTTATACCACAGTTTAACACACACACACACCCCACAAACAAACACACAAAGTAAGCCTTCATTTAAAATTGTACTTTAAATTGGACTTACAATTTAGGTATCATCAAATAATACTTACCAATACAGACATCAATTTTCCCTTTAATAGCAGCTTCATGCAGAGGTGTATAGTTCCAGTTATCCCTGGCATTTGGATCAGCTCCTTGGCACAGCAACAGACTCACAACCTCAGCATGGCCAAAAGAACAGGCATTATGAAGTGGAATGAGACCTCCATCATCACGAGCATGTACATTAGCACCCATCTGTAGTAAGTGTTCCACAACATCCTTCCTTCCAAAACCTAAAAAGAATGTGGAAATGTTTTTATACATTAAATCAATTTTGTAAAAAGAGCCAACAAATATGCACTTTAATAGTCTATACTAAAAAGAGCCAAACAAAATAAAAAAAAAATATATTAGCTCCGTTCAAAAGGATCTTCATTTCACAGAACCAGAACTATGGAAGCTCTTTTAATCACCCTCTCATGCAGTTGATTCAAAAAATATTCCTTAATCACTTGGTATGTGGCTGGGCAATTGTGCCAGAAATACCAAAGAATGAGACAAGACTCCTATCCAAAGCACTCACTTTCCTCTCAAGTTTCACAAGGCAAAATTACATGTAGAAAACACATTTCTATATTTTAAAAGGTAAAGATTACTTAAATACTGCCGACAACCAAGGCTAAGATATATCATAATATTCACCATTACATTTTTAGAGAAACTGGAGAGGAATGTAAGTATAACAGAAATAGTCTGGTAACGGGACTCTAAAAAGAAAGATTAAAGATGATGTCAGAATACCTATTATTGAGATAGGAGGGTCAAAATATGTGAAGTAGATGTTAAGTGAAACTATTCAAGCTTGGATTTACTGAATAAAAATATCACCAGGCAGATAAGTGGGAATACAGGCATTTGAGAATATAGAATCAGAACATCAATAATGAAACAGACTGAATTTGGAGAAACCCCCACCTCTGAAATTTAGAGCAACTTCCTCATGCTGAGAAACTACACTCCCAAGGCCTGACAGGCACCAAGCAAGCTGAGAGTGGAGGCCTGTAACACAAGGTAACTAAATCTATGTATGTATATTTCCCTTTTGTCTCACTTCCCTACTTGATCTCCTTTAAAAGCTTCATGGGCCTTCAGAGATTTCAAAGATGAAAGTTTTTGAAATAATAAGTGTCTTCTATTTCCCTTCAAAACTGGCTTTGAATAAAACCTATTTTCCTACCAAGCTGAGTGAAGTACCCTAGCCTCTCCTCAAAACCACTGCCAGTACTACTGTCGCCTGGTAACAGAAAGAAGCATCAATTTTCAGACAGAAAAGGGGGAAGGGCCAGGCAGAGTCTGAAGCAAATGCTTAGAAAGGTAGAAAACACCAAGCAGGACAAGAATGAAATCAAGGAGCAAAAATGTTAAGTAAAGTTCAGCATAAGGATTTAGTGAGATCAACAAGAAATGAAAAAATGGCCATTTATAATTTTAGAGTAATTTTAGTACAATGATAAAATCACAAGCTACACTGTAATGAGATATAAAAGGAAACTGCACTTATTATCATTTTATAAATGATTTTTTTCCACCTTATATTTTATTAGGTCTTATTGGCTACATATCACTATCTCCATGCTACTACATACTAGGTAATGTTGTGAGAAAATGGCACCTTACAAAATGAAAGTCATATTCTCCTCCACTTTAATGCATACATTAAATAAATGAGAACCATATGAACAATAGTAAGGAAAAAAATTTATTTCAAGATATACGGTCTATGCTATCTATAGAAATTCATTCATTCTAGGAAAGCAAGAAGAAAAAGTCCCTAAGTTAAAGATATGTTTCCACAGACATGAATCACAAAGTCAGAATTAGGTTTTCATGGAAAATATCATTCAAATTAAGCTGCAAATTTTGGGTGAAAGATGTCAATTTTTTATTAGTAAATGGAAGAGCATAAATATAGGATGCAAGCTAACGTTATTATCACAATCCTACTGGGGTTTGCTGGCAGAGCTTTACAGATGTTAGTTCCCTTTGATTCCCCAACTTCCATATCCTTCCTCCCTCTTCCATCACAACCCTGCTCTTCCACTGCACCAAAGACACTTTACTTACCCAGGAAGACAATAATTCTCCTTCCCCATACAGATTTAAATGAACCTTGAGTGAAAACTTACTTTTCCCTAACTAGTGCACTAATGTTTGAGAACTAAATTCCTTTCTTCAATGATAATCAAATAAATTTTAAACATAGCTTATCAGTTGGCACTTTTAAAAATACTCATTATAATATCCATAAAGCAAAATAGGAAGGTATGTGTTTATTTTTTCTAAAACTTTTAGATCTACAACACAAAATGAAAGTGGTTAGTATTCGGAAGAAGGGGGTGAAGTAGAACTGTGATTGTAAACCAGTAGGACACATTTGAAGAAGTAGCAGTTATCATCAGGCTGAAGCAAATACACCCTCTGATTTATCACTTTTCAATCTTTATCATAAAAAAATTCACATATAAACAAAGATTCTGCATCAAGAATATCATAATTACCTACAGGAAATCATGAAAACAATTTAAATGTCCAACAGATGCTTTGTTAAGTAAATGACTGTTAGATTGGACTTACTATTTAGTATCATCAAATAATAATGTGTCATCCTATATTAAGTGGGACATTACAGAACACTATGAATGTACTCAATGCCACTGAATTTTACACTTAAAAACAATAAGATGATAAATTTTGTTATACACATTCCTCCACAATTTTTTTTTTCAAAATCACCAAAAAGTACAAACTATATAAAAGAAAAAAGGATGTTATAGAAAATTTTAAAACATATAAAAGAATTTTTTAGGTTAAAGTCTTCAAGAGTAAAAATATATGAAACAAAATACTGGAGAAAAAAATCATACATGTATTTATAAAAACTATAAATGAATAGAAAAAAGACAAAATCACTAGAGTGATTATGATATTTTTCTTAACTTTTTTTTCCTTGTTTTTTTGTTTTTTGTTTTTTTGGCATATTCTGAAAGCTAATCCTAGTTGTTATTGCCCTATAAATACTTTCTGTTTATGGTTCATTTTTAAACTGTTTACAATTTGATCTCATACAAGTTTTAATATATCAATCTTTTCTAACATGATTTGTATCTTCTCTACAACCTTTAAAAAATCCTTTCCTATTTCTATCCCATTCCTACATTTTCTACTAGATTACATATGCTCCTATACCTACAATGGAGTTACAACCCAATAAACCCATTTTAAGCTGAAAATATTAAGGCAAAAATCCATTTAATATATCTAAACTACAAAACATTCTAGCTTAGCAACACATTAGAAACTACTGAGTAATGGTTTTTTGTCCTTGTGACTATGTGGCTGACTTGGAGCCGCAGCCACTGATCAGCCACCAGGAGAGAGTATTGTACTTCAAGCCCAATAAAAAATAAAATCTCAGAGTTCAAAGATCAGTCTCTACTGATTACTTATAACTTTAGCACCATGCTAAGTCAAAAAACTGCTAAAACAAATCACTAAAAGCTGGGAATCATCTAGACCTATATAATTCTGCTTTCACATTTAGATCTTTCATCTACCTATACTAGATGTGAATCAGAAATCTAATTTTATTTTCCTTTCTTTTCTCTTTGGTGGGTCAGTTTGTTCATTAACATAACTTTAAGGTAAGTCTAGATATTAGCAGGGCAAATTTCAATCTACTTTGTTCCTCTTAAATAATTATCTTGATTAATATTGCTACTTAATGTTCCATATGAATATTTTCAAGTTCCGCAAAGAAACTTATGTTTTTATTTGTTGTTTTGCTTTGTTTTTTTAAAGTTCAAAGATTAGAATTCTGGAAAGTTAACAAAATTATAACACTGGACTTCCACAAACTCAGGTCTCTGTATCCTTCTATTTTGTTTTTTCTCTGTTAATATCTTGTACATTTGTCAAAAATCATTGGGTATTTTAATGTATTAGCTCCTATTGGGATGAAGAGGGCAATAATACGTTAGGAGAGGGGTCAGAGGAGTTAGATCACTCCAAGCCTTAGAGTATGCAGCAAGGAGTTTCAAATTAAGTAGGGGTTTGTCAGGTAGCCATATCTGTCCGCTAACTAATGTGGTACCTTTAAAAGAGGAAATGGCAAATGAGGTCAGAAAGATAACTAAGGGCTTGACTATGTAGGGCCTCTGTATCAGGCAGGAACACATTTAGTTCCAATGACAATGCCCAACTAGGGATTCACTTATCTCACACAACTTGTCTAGACATTGACACATCAGGCTCACAACAAGCAGTTTACTAATGAATGATATTAGGAGTCATTTAAGAATCTTTCCACTCTGGCATCCTTATCATATGCAAGCTTTCTTCTACTTGCTTATCACCACATGCTGTTGTCTCCAATCTTGATATCCAGGTTCCCAGGCAAGAAGTGAGAAAGGGTAAAGGAAGAAAAGACTTTCTCTTAAGTCTTTTTTATTATTAAGGAAGCAAAAACCTCTCCAAATACTTCTACCTATATCACATTAGCCAAAAATGTTTGTCATCTGTCCACCTTCAAAAACAGGCTGGAAAGCCAAGTCTTTTAAAGTTCCTTGGGAAACAGGGCTGCCTTGAACAAAATCTAGTATGTTAGAGAAGATGAATTTGGGTGAATAATCAACAGTATCTGCTGCAACTTGGTTAAGCCATGGGTAGAAGTTTGGTTTTCATTATACAGGGCCATTTATAAGGGAAATTACCTGATTCTGTTTAAGTCTTAATTAGCTATGTAAAAAACATACTGGAAAAGATCAGGAGCAAAATCAGAGGCACACATTAAGAAAAATTCTGCTTACTTGCCTTAGTCTAGCAAGAGTTAATGATGGCTTGGAATAGTAGTGGCAGCATAGATAAGTCAAAGACCACAGAACTACAGTAGGTTTTTGTAAAAAACAAGAACAACAGAATCCCAGGATTATAACTTTGGCAAATCAGTTTATGGAGGTATGTTTGGGGAAAGTCAAGATAAGCAAGCCAATACAAAGCTCACCCTAAAAAACTACTCTTCACCAAATATTAAATTAAGTAACATGATTTGTAAATTTCAGCACATTCTTGCCCCTAAAGAATATATAAGAAGCCGAGCAGAGTGGCTCACTCCTGTAATACCAGTGGCTCCAGAGGCTGAGGCAGAAGGACTGCGAGTTCAAAGCCAGCCTCAGCAACAGGGAGGCACTAAGCAACTCAGTAAGACCCCTGTCTCTAATAAAATACAAAATGGGGC